TAGACAAGAATTTTAACCCACTGGATCCTGTGATAACATTTTACCAAGGAATTTCCATTAGAACAGCTGAGCTGGCGGCGCAGATTACTAAACTGACTGAGGGATGTAAGGCCTCTGTGCACAATTATCAAGTCTATTATGATTTAAACTAAATTGATTTTTGTTCTACGACCGCTTTTCGTACAATCTTGGCTTTCCATTTTACTCAAGCTTTCAAAATAAGCAGATTCAGCAACAATATGTCAACCGCTCTCGAGTGTCTCCGCGTGCTACGTACACCTTTTCGAGAGGAGATTACCACCGGACGCATCTTATATGGAGTGCTCCTAGCCTCAATCACCGCTAGCTCCACTTTTATGAATATCATTCTTATGCTTATCGCCCTCTTTACTGACACTTTGAATACGTCATTACGTCTCTACCTGCTCAGTGCAACTTTTGGAGGACTCGTGGTAGTGGTCCCAATACTCTCTGGGTTAATACCGGCTATACTCTTTCGAGTACAATTAAAAGATCCAGTCAATATAATCATAACTACGGGTGATACTTTATCATATCTCATTTTGATGTTAACTACCACTGCTATAGCATGGGATCGATTCATATTCTTTCTCTTGCCAAAGGTTTGCTTTGCTTTTTTAATAATATGTGTTGAGCTCGTTTTGCCTTCCATCAAAACAAACATGTCTAAAATCTATTGATTTTAGGTGCACAAATTCATCAACCCCTATTTTGCTGCATTTCCATGCAGTGCAGCATTCCTTGTTACTATTCATATGTTTACTATCGGATGTTACAAAAGAACTGATCCCTTTGCTCTTGCTTTTACGTACTCATGCAGGTAAGCATCGATATTAAAAGGGAGTGGTGCCGCACTAAATTCTTATATATTATTTGCCGTGTTCCAAACTTAGGAGATATGCTCCAAGAACGCTACGTATTGATTCAGATGTCCTAGATATGGAGATCCTTGCAGCCTCCTTTTAGTTTTTCTTCCCCATTCAACCCAAGATGACCTTTAACATAATGGAGATCTTGAAAGCAGACGCTGTTCTCGCTCATTTTTGGCTTATTCAACTCTTTGAATGTGACCATTTGGTCAAAGTTGTCGGGCACTCTACTGATTGATATATCCACAGTAAATGGTAACATTCGGCCATTTCCATACAGTTCGAGAAGCAAATGAGAACGTTTGCACTTGTGCTCTTAACTTTCTTCATTCTCTTAAACTAACGCTCTTGGTCGTTCTGGAGAACTTGTAATTAGAAAAAGCAGAGCCTGATATATGACGACTGTGCAAGATATCACTTCTAAACAAAGTTCGAAGCTGTCCAACATTGTTTAACCACAAATCATCTACTCCATTTAAGTTCACCTCTCTTTTACTTCCGTTGAAGGCTACTTCTACACGTCGCTCTAAACTATAAACTGGCTACGGCAGGACCGTGTAACATGACTCTTTTAGTGGTGCAGAACCCGATCGCCCGAAGTTCTAGCGGCAGCACCCATTCCAGTACTCAGATTGAAATCCCCAACCAACAAAGTTCTTCGCAAGAAGAATGTAGAGATCTTTGGAATTGCTACCCTGAAATAATGAGAGGCGAAGGAGATGGACATTAGAATCTAAGATACTTCGAGGTGTAAAATGTATTGAAGAGAAATCATCATCCAGATGGTACGCCTTGCTATAGTTGAACCAGCTCGAATCAACTTGTGAGTCTAATTGAACTGGATCTCTAAACGTGAGCCGTTCAGTGCCAATATCTCGGAACGTTGGCTAGGGGCAGACAGATGGAAACAATGCTGAAGCCTATTTGTTGAGCAAAAACAAATTATTTAAGTACATTATTGGGAAGCAAGTAGCCTAAAGTCCATTCCGGGGGTACATGCCATAGACTCGGTATCTTCACCAGCGCCAGTCATTCCAAAGGCGACTGCTTTAACACATCCCTAATTGAGAAGCCAAACTTCTTCCGCATGACTACTCACAATGTTCGATCAACTGTTAAGCCAGCAAGCAGGTTGAACGTTTGAATTTGAAGAGTAAAGTGAGTTCGAGCTGTGCCTTTGTCTCTGCTGGCGTTAATGGCGCTACTGTTTAAGTAAGATTTTGTTAAGTCTGACATTCCATCCAATCACGTCTGTAGACATATCACCACACAGTGAGCGAGCAAATCTCGACAACTATGATTACCGCAAACCTTCAGGTGAAATAGTATCCTCTTGAGGTTTGTCTAAAAATATTTTTCTCTTTGCGTTGCTCTACCGTAGACTTGTTGCCCGAGATCGTAGAATGCTATCTTTTTCCATAATTTAATTGCAAAGAGATTTAGCAATAGCTTTTGCACACTAAAAGGGATTGGATGCTGTCCAACACTTACTAAGAATGACACTTATATTTTGTCTTTCAGTGACTGTTCATATTATCGCCCTATATTGAGCTATGCCGGCTTAGTGCTTTGCGGAATAAATGTTTTCCTGTATATCATTGTTTACTGTTGCATCTTAGCAATGCGAATGCAGCTTAGAACGCATATAGGACGCGCTTCTATCAAGAAAGATGATCTTTTGTTGGTAAGATTCATGCGTAGAATAAAAATCTGCTACAACGATAAATAACGCTCGGTTTTACTGTTTAGGTTCTTCAATTCTCACTTATCTGTGCTTGTCAATTCGGCAGCAGTGCGCTTCTTCCTCTTTTACCACCACTTACTGGTGATACGATCAAATCATTTCGAATATCAATGATCTTCTCAACAGTCAACACTATGGCTAATCCTTTGGTGATTTTCGCATTTCAAAAACGAATGCGTCATCTAGGTTTTGGCATTCTTAGACTATCAAACAGTAGTCATATCCGTATTTTTGCAATATAAGCTGTGACGACTTAGTCAAGAAACTTATGTTAACCAGTTGTTCTTTTATGATGACGAGGTTTTATCTTCAACG